TCACAAAGAGTCAGACATGACTGTGCTACTGAACAACAAAAATTACAAGATCCATGGTGACTTCGGGCAATTTTGGCTGAATGATGGGGTCATCAGCCAGACTATCAAGAAGGGAGAGGAGAGGAAGTTGGGACACTCCTGGAGGCAAGATGTCCAGTTACGAGGAACTATAATAGGGAGCTGGGAAACAAGGAGGGAATGAACAAGGCTGGTGGCGATAGGAGTTGAGGAGGGGGGAGCTACTGGACAAATTTAAGAGGCAGAATTCACCGGGATTTGTCAATTAATTGGATGACGGGAGTGAGAGAGAAGAAATTTAACTGGTCAAAAGTGTCAGAACTGACTTCTAGCTTTTGATCCAGGATAACAAATAGGAAAACAAGGGGCATGGGGAACAGGTTTGGGGAGTGATGGGGAGTTCAGTTTTGGACATGTTAAGTCTGTGTACAATCCAGATGGAGATGACCAGCAAATAGTTGAAAAAACTGGAGCCTCAGCTCAGAGGAGAGGCTGGGTATGGAGATTATTATTAGTAATTAATAATATAATAATTAATAATAATAGCAAGTATTTCTATAGCACTTTAAGGTTTGCAAAGCCCTTTATATGTTACTATGCTTGATCCTCACAACCTTGTGAAGTAGGTGCTATTTTATATATATAAAATGTATATATGTATGTGTGTGTGTGTGTATATATATATATATATCTCCTCATGGAGATATATATATATATTAATATAATATATATAGTATAATATATAATATATATATATATTACAGATGACAAAACTGAGGCTGAGAGGTAAAGGGACCTACAGAGGATCATATAGGAAGTGTCTGGAGCAGCATTTGAACTCAGGTCTTCCTGATTCTAGGCCAGAATTCTACCCATTGCACCACCTACCAGTCAAAAAGATTTTCCAGTCATAAAAGTCATAGCATTTTTGAGATGGAAGATGACATTGGCCAATCTAGTCAAACGCCACCTCCTAGAATTGCAGAGGAGGAAAACCTGGGGCACTAAGGTCATTAGGTGATTTGGCCAAGGTCCACAGGAAAAGTACAAGACCCAAGCCACGGCGAGTGAGTTCTTTCCATTACATGTTACCCGTAGAGATCATACCTGAGGCTAATCGGCCAATGAGAGAAGAAGGCCAAGAAGAGAACCTTGGGGGTGCCCACTTGTAAGGAGGTAAGAGCAGGCTAAGGGGGCAGTCTGAGAGATTGGAGATGAAAAAGCCATGAGTGCCTTGTTTCAGAAATCTAGAGAAAAGAAGGAATGAAGAAGGGGACTGGCCTCTGTGTCAGGTGTCCAGGAGATCAAAGACAACCTTAAAACACTCAAAGGATTTAGCTCCAAGATAAGAAAGTCCTTCAGAAGTTTGAGTGAGGTCGTTTCAACATTTCAGGAATGAGGAGAAGGGAAGCTGGATTTCCTGGGGTTGGGACTGAGGTGCCCCAGGTGATTGCAGAGTTGCTTCCACAGGAATCTCCTTCCCTAATAAAATCACCATAAAATCACAAGTCCTGTCCAAAGACAACAGAAAAAATGGAGTGAAGGAGAAGAAGGTGGGATATCGGAAGAAAGCTGGCCTCGAACACACCAGCCCTGGGCAAGTCATGTCAAGTGATCGATAATCAAACGACCAACATTTATGAGGCTCGGACTAATGCCAAACACTGGGGATACAAAAAGAGCCACAGGACAATCCCTGCCCTCAAGAAGCTTACAGTCTGATGGGGGAGACAATACGCAAACCACTATGTACAAATGTAGCTATGCCCAGGATAGATAGGCGATCATTAACAGAGGGAGAGGACCCTGGAATCAAGAGGGGTTAGGGAAGTGTTCCTGTAGAAGGTGGGATATTAGTCGGAACTTAAAGGAAGCCAGGGAGGTCAGTCTTTGGAGAGGAGGAGGGGGAACATTCTAGACCAGGGGTGGGGAATCCTTTTATTAAGGGGATTTGTTCTGTGAAGTTTGGATTCAAAGGGCAGCACTTGAGGACCTAGAGGGCCACTTGTGGCCTCAAGGCCAAGGTTCACCACCCCTGTTCTAGACTTTAAGTGTAAATAAAGTCTTTTTTCAAAGTTTGACAGGAAGGTAGTTGAAAGAAGTGGTCAGGTCAAGGGGAAGGGTCTGTGTATGAGTGTTTTGAAGGTAAGAAGAATTTCACTTCTCATTAAAGTTCCTGATTGCAAAATAGGTCAGGTTAATCCTTCAGAGGTTGCTGTGACTTAATTTGTACAGGCATTGAGAAGAGAAAATCACCAGAGCCAGCTGGGGCCAGCATGGTCAAGGTTTAGGCCTTGGAGGGCCTGGGGGAAGGGCAGGGCCGTTGACATTCAGGGTCCTCCCCGGCCCCTCATGGAAGCCTGATCTCTGGTCTCAAACAGGAAGTGGGCCTAATTCTAGGTTCTCTGTGGCACCATAAATACCTCATAATAATGGGCATGATGATAATTAGATGAGTCCTGGGCTTCTCTGGCTTCTGAGTGGGTGGGAGAGGAATGTAGGAGACACAGGAGCTGGAAGATGGGAAACTAACTTAGGACCCCCCCCATCCCCATCTCCAGTGGTCTGTTTCTGCCTCACCCCTCCAACCTCGGTAACAGGAATTACAGGTTTAACCTGTACTGTGCTATCAAGCTAGCACAGGGCTAGGCACTTTGGGAGGTAGAGGTTTGGATAAGACAAAGTCCCAGCCCTCAAAGAGATCCCACAGAGCCACAATAATAATAATTACTTGTATGACTTTACATATATTAACTCCTTTGGACCTCACAAGAATCCTAGGAGGTAGGTGCTATTACGAATTCCATTTTAGTTAAGAAAACTGAGGCTAAGAGGTTAAGTGACTTGCCTGGCATCATACATGTAGTAAGTATCTGAGGCTGGATTTGAACACAAGTCTTCCTGATTCTGAATTCTGGTTTGTATCCACTGCACCACCTAGCTGCCTTATAATAGATAATAGAAAGGCTTTGGAGTTAGGGAAAGTGTGAAGTCTGGGGGAATGGTATCTCTGAAACCTTGAGGGTTCTGGCTTCTCTCCTCTTCACTCCCTTAAGAGATCTGGTGTCCTTGAAACTGTCCCTGCCTGGAAAAACTGGAGGGGGTGGGGGTAGCAAGCCAAAACTAAGTGAGCTTTCTTAGGAGTGGGGTGAGGGGCCCCAGAGCAAGGGATGGTGATGTGGGATGACGATGGGTTGGGGGTGGGTATTTCCACCGACAAGCATGGCTTTCTCAGAAACATCCTTCTCTTGCTTAGGTCCAGGCCTGGGGAGCCAGGCTGGGTTAATGTGTAAGCTGAGCAGCTCTTCCAGGGGAAGAGTAAACATCTCTGGGGTTTGGGGAAGGGGGACAGAACAGGAGGGGGCCTCGGAGACATTCAAGTGTGAGCAGAGGCTTACAGGGAGAGCAAGCCTGGGCGCTGGCCCTCTCTCCTCCCAGTGATACAGGGGTGAAGGGCCCCTCAGTATCCTAGACTGTTGGGACCCAGAGAGCTTTCTAGTACCACCCAGCTGGAGCCTGGAAGGCCCTGTCAGGCCCTCTGACCCATCCCCCTCCCATGGCTCAGCCTGACCCAGCCTTTTAGACTGCCAAGAACACTGGACTTGGAATCCAGACACTCAGGTTTGAACCCCAGCTCTTCGAACTGGGGCAAGTGCCTGGGCCTCTCTGGGCCTCAGTGTCTGCATCTGTAAAATGGGGCTAATAACAGGGACACTAGCTTTGCAAATCTTAAACCGCAACTGAAGTGGGAAATTATGGACGCTGCATTTTTTACAGTTGAGGAAAGTGAGCATCCATCAATGCTTTAGGCACTGAATTTGGGGGACACCTCGATGGAGACCCAAGAGCTCCCACCCAAATGAGAAATGCTGGCACACAGCAGGCACTTAATAAATGCACCGCCTCCATCACATCAGCAAGGCAGCAAGAGAGGTAACATCTCTTCTCTCTCTCTCTCTCTCACACACACGCCCCCTCCCCTCTCCTCTTCTGGCTGGGGCTGGACGTGGGGGGCCGGGGGCTCCACTGCGCAGCCACACTGACACCTAGTGGCTCAAGTCAGCAGCTGCTCCGGACATCTGGGTCCCAGGACACGTGCGGGGCGGGGCGGGGGGAAGGGGGCGGAGCACCCCAAAGAGGGAGGGCGAACCCGAGCCGGCGGGGACGAATGCCTGCCATGGGGTCCGACGGGGCGGGACAGAGCTCGGCCGGCCCGGAAAGCGAAGGTCACTCCAAGGGCCGGAGAGGCCGGAGGGGTGGGCGTGGGGTCCCCGGGCGAGGGATGGCGCGCCGAGCGGGAGCGCCCAGCCCCTTCCCTCCCCCGGGGTGGCGTCGGGCTGTAGGCGGGGGAAGCCGGGGCAGGAGGGAACCCGCCCTGGGACGATCCGGGTTAATGAGGCTGGGGGAGGGGGTCAGGGGAGCGGGAGGAGGGAAGCCGGAAAGAATCCCTGGCTGTCCCCTCCGCCCGCTCACAAGCTTCCCACTCCAGGCGGCAGCGGCTCTCGCTCCCGCTCCCGGACACTCCGTCCGCAGGCGCCCGTAGCCACCCCTGGCCGAAGCACGCGTGTCCCCGACTCTGGGAGCTCCGCAGGTGAGCCCGCCTGGACGGGACGGAAGGGAGGCGCCCCTTCCCCGCTCCGGACTTCTCCGGACAACTTGGGAAAGTTGTTGTACGTGCGGGCCGGGGTGGGGGGGCGAGCCGGCCCTCCGCGGCTCCCTTCAGAGCCCAGGGTGGGGGGGCTGCCCGGGGAGGGGTGGGCGCGGAAGCCCCGGGCCCGGCGGGGGCGGGGGGAGGAAGGGGCGGAGGCGGAGGGCGGAGCGCCTCGCGGGCGGAGGGGGCGGGGGCAGAGGCGTCGCGGGGGAGGGGCCGGCCAGCGGGGAGCCGGACGGAGGGGCGGGCGGCCGCTGACAGTCCGAGAGGTGGCCCCGACAGACACGGCGCATCCGGAGCGGCGCCGGCGGAGGCGCCCCAGCGCGACCCCATGCCCGTGCCCCTGCCCCCCGCGCTGCTGCTGCTGGCCACCACGCTGACCTTCCGGGCCGCGCTGCTGCTGCTGAGCCGCCTGCCGCTGCCCGCCCACGTGCGGGGCGACCCCCTGCGCACCTGGCGCTGGCACAACCTGCTCGTCTCCCTGGCGCACTCCATCGTGTCCGGCCTCTGGGCTCTGCTCTGGTGAGTGAGGAAGGGGCGCGGCCTGAGCCCGGCAGCCTCACCCGAGCCCCGCTCCGGAATCCCGGCCAACCGAGAGCCGCCGGGCGGGGCGGAGACGGGGAGAAGGAAGGGGAGAGAAGGGGAACTCTCACCTGGGCAACCGGAGGTACCTGGACGGCGGCCAGGCTCCGCCCAGCGTCTGGCCCCACCCAGCCCCTTCCTCTGCGGCCAATCGGGAGGGCCGGCCTCTCGGAACACCCCCCCCCCCACTTGGGAGCCTGGCCCTCGGGGCCGGTGGAGTGATGAGGGATCTCCCCATATGCCCACTCTTTCCCTCCTCCCCTTTTCCCACAGCGTCTGGCAGACCCCGGAGATGCTGGTGGAACTTGAGACCGCCTCGTCCGTCTCTGGCTATTTGCTCGTCTGCCTCTCTACGGGTAGGTGCTGGCTGGGGACGGGGCCCTGGGGGTTCCGAAGGGTGGGGAGGCAGGTATGTAAATGAGGGCCCCCAAGACCCCTTGTCTGGCCAGCTGGGCCATGGCCTTTCTTGCTTTCTCTCTTCTCCAGGCTATTTCATCCATGACACAGTGGACATCGTGGCGAGCAAGCAGGCCCAGGCGTCTTGGGAATATTTGGTCCACCATGTCTTGGTGAGCGAGAAGCATGGGGGTGGAGATGAAACCCAGAGTCAGCACTTAAATCAAATTCAGTTCTTCTTATCCCCCTCCTGGAGGGTGGGGCAGAATTTTATCTTCCCAGCCCTGTGGTACAGACTGTTCCAGAAGCTAGAGCTACCCCAGGGTCCTCCCCGCCCCATTCTCCCTTTTCCCCAAGTACACTGGGCTACAGAATACTTCCCACCTGGAAGTGGCTCCTGGACAGTTGGTCCAGCGGGGCGAGAGGCACAGAATACCCCCTGCATAAAGTACAAGAGACATTTGGGCGCTGAATTTGACACATTTTATAATTCTGGAGCTAAGATTTGAGAAGGAACCTCTAACCAAGGCTGATTCTACAAATTGCAAGGAAAACGAATCTTGTGTGAAAGGAGGAGGCCCTAAGAACCTGCAGTCCTGTTCCCTTGAGGCAGCTCAAAACGACGTGGGGGGGGGGGGGGCGCAGCTAGGTGGTGCAGTGGATAGAGCACCAGTCCTGAGCTCAAATGTGGCCTCAGACCAAACACTTTAACTTCCTAGCTGTGTGACCCTAGGCAAGTCACTTAACCCCAATTACCTAAAAATAATGAAAACAAAACAAAAAACCATGTGAATTGGGGACAAGTGACCCAGCATTAGCACCAGTCCCAAAGCCCATGACATGGATCTGGGCTGGGCAGTCCCTGAGCATTGTCTGCATGTTCCCACATGTCTGCCTTGCCCACTGTGGCTGTCAGACCGGGTCTACCAGCCTCCTCTGCCCTGAGAGAAGACTAGGGTAGGTGGTTAGTGTAGGCGAAAGCAGTATCTTGGAGAGCTGGCCTAAGAGACAGATCAGGGTTCATGGTTCCCTTCCACAACACACGGGAGGATCAATCAGTGCTGAATTGGAAATCTGGGAAGGTTCAGCAGGGGTTTTGTCATATACCCCTGCTTAAGAGTTTGTAAGTACAAAATCAATAGGAAAGGAAGCCAACCAGTTGTACTGAAATGTGGTTACCAGTGTATCTAATAAGATCCAGGTTAGAGTTCCTGCAGTAGAATGACTCTTTGGGAGGAAATAGGGGATCTTCTCAGGGGAACCCCTATCTCTCTACATCAGGGGGCTGCCACCTTTTGGACCACCTAAGCTGAACACAATTTGAATTAACTTTGAAGACTCAATGCTTGGCCATCAGGGCATCAGGCAGTAGTTACTTGGCTGACCCAGGCCTTCTGTTGCCATCTCTCCTTCAGGCCATCGCTGCCTTTGCCTCGGGCATCTTTAAGGGCACCTTCGTGGCAGGTGGGGTTATGACACTGTTTGTTGAAGTCAGCAACATCTTCCTCACCATGAGAATGATGATGAAGCTCAGTAACAACCAGGACTGTCTTTTCTACTGGGTCAACAAGTATATCAACTTGGTCATGTACTTCCTCTTTCGTCTGGCCCCCCAGGCCTACCTCACCAGCTTTTTCCTTCGCTACCTGGGGGAGAGGACAGAGGGTGCCTTTCTGCTCAGCATCCTGTTGATGGTGGATCTGATGATTCTCATCTACTTCTCCCGCCTCCTTCGCTCAGACTTCTGCCCAGAGAGAGTGTCCCTTCGGCATAAGAAAGACAAGTTTCTGACCGAATAGATCCGCTTTGTGCTTTGATAACTTTGGGGACTTAATTTATCCACGTGGCCCAGTACCTCTCCTGGTACAGGCAGCTATTTCTCTACCAACATCGATGTACTATCGAAGACACTAAAAAAAAAAAGCCAAAAAACCCCAAAGCACACTAATTTGGAAATCCTTTCTGTGGTCAAGGGAAGCCAGCTCCTTTGGGTATGGCAGCTTGGGAAAGACTCTTGGTAAAGCCAGATGGAAGGAAAGGTCTATCTGGAACAAGGATCATGTAAAATGCTCTATAACCCACATAGGCTAATTTTGTTTTGAACAGTCAAAACTCCCCCTAACACCACACCAGGAACACAGATTTTACTACCCTGTTACTACCAACTTAATGCCAAGCACTTGTTTGGAAGCTAGAGGTCAGCAGTCATACTTTCTTCCTTGGAAACATAAAGGAACAGTTAACCTCTCACTGCCAAAGGGTCTTGATTTCTCCTCCCCACATTCCTAGAAATGGGCAAAACACAAAATTGAAGCCCACAAGATTTCAAGGGGCTCCCTCTGAAGGTAGACTTGTCTAGCTAAGGCCCTAGGCAGGACAAAGAGCCACCAGGCCCATCAAGCCTTCCCCTGCTCTGGCCCAGGGCTCCTTTTTTTTTTCCTCTTCCTTTGGAAGGAGTAGCTATGGCTCTTCCCTTCTCTCCACTGTTACCCTCCTGGGAGTAAACGGTTGTCAGGCACTAAGAGGGTACTGTTTAAGCAACCACAGTATGATGGCTTGAGCCCTAGGGATCGGAGACAACTTGCGGGGCCACAAAGTGAAGAGAACAGTGATGCAATTTCTTCTGTGAGAAGCATGATCTTGTCCAGACCCTGCCCCGTGAAGGTGAGGAAATGGTCTAGGAAGGCTGACTAACCTACAGTCAGCACCCATGGAATCCCTCTTCCCATCCTGGGCACCCCCCCCACCCCTCCATGAGAGATGAGGAACATGAATATACTGGAAAACTTTTTATTGTAAGTGGAGTGGGATAACTGGACACAGTTTAGATGATTCCAATCTGAAAAGCAAAAGGCAATAGTGTTACCAAGAGCTCAGGAGGGCCAGGAACACGCTAGACAAGAGGTGATAAGAAAAGCAGGGGGCCGGGCCTGGAGACTCCCACCCAAGGGCAACCCTCCCCTGCAGCCTAGGTGGTCACTGGCATTTGTTTGGGACGGGGTACATCAGCCATCCAGAGTCATCACTGAGGCTCAGGCTTTGGTCACTCTGACTCATCACTTGCACCCAAGGAGAAGGTGGGCACCTTCAATACTCACTTTGTTGGCAACATCTAAAGCATCATAGTCTGGAGCAAGTCGGACATAGGCCTTCTTCTCTCCGTCAGGCCTAGGACAGAAAAAGTGACCTTAGCACACAGAATGTAGCACCCCTACCAAAGTCTCTACCCCTTCCTTATGCCTGCGTCATGCATCAGTGGTTCCTTTGTTAGCATCATTTTTCTCTGTAAAATGATATTTTCCATCATTTGCATGAACACTGCAAACAAGCCCGAAAAGACACAAGGTCTCAATTTATGGCTCTAGCTCCTGATTAGGTCATTTCCCTGTCCTTTTTTTTTTACTCGAGAATTTCATCATCATTGTTCCAAGTGCCAAGGCACAGGTCAGGACCCAGGGAAGAGGCAGTAAAATCTCACCACCAGTCAAGCCAAAGCATACTTATGTTGGACTACAGGATGCTTCCCCACCCCAAACCTGTCTCTCAACCTCAGTATGGGCTTAAGACTGCCACATGGGTGCGATGAACCGATAAATTTCAGTGCCCAGCCCACCCACTTTTCCCTTTGGCACCCGAGCTGCGTGTTTCCTGAACACGGACAAAGTGCCCCTGTGCCGGGGCTCCTGCCCTTGGGGAGCCCTCACTCACCGGATCAGCGTGTTGACCTTGGCCACGTCGATGTCATAGAGCTTCTTGACTGCCTGCTTGATCTGATGCTTGTTGGCCTTGACATCCACAATGAAGACCAGGGTGTTGTTATCCTCGATCTTCTTCATAGCAGACTCAGTGGTCAAGGGAAACTTAATGATGGCATAGTGGTCAAGCCTGGGAAGGAAAAGGGGAGGCATATCAACAGGCCCCTAACACTAGAAGAACCAGGGACACCTTTTATCAACGGAACACAATTTTTACTTTGAAATAGAAATGTTCCTCCTATCACCATTTTCTTTTCCTTGTGGATAAAATGGTCCAAAGCATCACTGAGGTAGCGTTTTCCTTTTACTGTTAAGGCTGCAGGGAAAGCAGGGTGCATCAGACACTGAGGCTGCCAATCACTTTACTCAGACTTTGGTCGCTATGGGTATCATCACCTGCACCCTAAAAGCTAGAGAGCTTATCCTGAGGAGGAACCACAATCCTACTGGGAGGCTCCTTTCATCTCACACACATTCAACAAGCCCTTACTATGGAGAAGGTAGTATGGACACAAAGCCAAAACAATTCCAACATTAGGAAAACTGGCTTCATTCTATGGAGAGAACTGATCCTCACAATGTTCCTTTAAAGGAAAGGTGTAGCTTTCTTATGTTGCCAAGGGAGAAATCTGGAAGTGGGCCTAGAAGAAAGTAGCTCAGGTAACTGGGGAGCCTGGCCCCCTCTGGAACATCTAAGACAAGGGCAGAACTGACAACATTCCTGGGTCAGGAGCTTCCTAAACTCCAAAACAGTAAAGGGACCTAGTCCATATACTTCCCACTCCATTTGGCTCCAATGGGTTCACACATTAGTGAGGCAGCTGGCACTGGCTTCCATTCCCACTTTCTTCACCCATGTCAAATCTCAAACTATGAGTGCAACTATTCCTGGGAGTCTGGAATACCTTTCAAAGCCCCCACCCTTTGTACTGCTGTCTCTAACTCTAATCATTTTACAAAGAGAAAGGCACGTGGGATCTTGGAGGGCAGCGTATGGACATGCTCTCTCCATTCCCAAAGCCTGATTGGTCCAAACTGGACCAAAACTCCAAACAGATTAAATTGAAGGCTCCACTCCTACCTACAGCTTCAACTACCCCTACACTCATCCTCCTCCCACTGGATGCCTTTACTACCCTGGAATCTAGAGGGAATCAACTGCATGAATTAGCAACTCCTCATAACAAATTTCTTAATGCTCTTAAGTGGTTTTATACTCCTCTGTTAGAATTTCTAAGTGCTGCCCTGCTTATTATCAAGCAGGCATTCAACACAAGCACCAGCCACTTCAACAACTCAAAAGGAGGCAGGAAGTGCTGGGGGGTGGGGGTGGGGAGGCCATCCCAAGCAAATACACAGGCTCCCCACAGGCTCCAGACACATTTGACCAGTAGCTACAAGTCCTCCCAGGGACCCAGAAGGCCAAAGAACGACCAAGTCTTACTTGTTCCTGCGAGGGGCACTTTTCCGTGGGTATTTGGGCTGCCGTCGAAGTCTTAGTGTCTTGGGTCGCCGGAATGTGGGAGACGTTCGGATCTTCTTCTTTTTGTGGCTGTGAACACCCTTCAACACTGCCTTCTTGGCCTTCAAGGCCTTGGACTTGGCTTCTGTCTTGGGGGGGACCACCACTTGGGGACACAGAGAGAAAAAGTAATCAGTCCACAAGATTCTTCTGGCCAACAAGGGGCTGCTTCCAACCACCCCAATGCCATCAGTGGTTCCTTTGACAACATCATTATTCTCAGGAAAATCCAGGTATCCATCATTGGCATGAGGCTAAATGTCTTGTTAAGGTGAAATCTTTAGGTAAAGAATTATGGATTTTAAGAATTGGAATCAATCTTTAAACTACTAAGTGGGAGGCACAGGAACATTTCCTGCCCCAAAAAAGCTTATATACTATCTGGACATTTATTATGGAAGGGACCTCAGGAATCAAAATGCCCAGGAGGTTCTCCACTTGGGGTCCAAAAATGCATTTTCTAAGGTCTAAACAACTGTATTTTTAAAAAACATAGTTGTCTTCCTTTGTGGTTCTGTGGGTTTTGTTTTATTCATTTAAGAATCTCACTCTTCAAAGGAGTCCACCCGCTTTATCAAACTTCGAATCAGTTAACTAAACATTTGTTAAAAGCCTATTACGTGAGGGGGGGGGAGGCAGCTAGGTGGCTCAGTGGAAGCCTGAATTCAAATCTTGTCTCAGACACTCAGTAGCTGTGTGACCCTGGGCAAGTCACTTAACGCTGTTTGCTCAGTTCTCTCATCTGCAAAATTGGCTGGAGAAGGCCACAGCAAGCCTGTGTCAGGTATCTGTGGTATCTGTGTCGGGGAAACCTGGGGTTTTCGTGGGGTGCCACGCACGGCCCATGGGGTCGGACCCGACTGAGCACCAACAACGTGCCGGGGGCCGAGCTAAGCGCCGGGGATTAAGAACAGAGAAAAGGCGGACCCTGACACCAAGAAGGGGGCTCTTATCCGATCCCCCTCATCTGACACGACTCGCCGGGGCTGGGTCTTGCCCAAGTCGCTCCAAGGGCCTGGAATCGAGTTCGGCGCTCTGCTCTGCCCACCACGCGGGCCGGGATCCGCGGGACAAAGAGGGGTCCAGAGGAACGGCCGGCTGCACCAAGCCCGAACGAGGCCGGCGCGGTGAGGGAGAGCCAGGGGGGAAGGTGCTTCCTCGGGCGGGTAGGACTGCGGGTCCCCGGACGCCGGGGCAGGAGACAGCCGGGCTGAGCCGGGCCTGGCCCACGTGGTCCGCCTGAGGGCGGCCTCGGCGTCCGTGCCGCCAGCGGACCAGGGCGCGCGCGGATACAGCTTCTCCAGCTCCCGCCGGGTCCCCTAGCCGCCACGACCGCCGCCGCCCCGGCAGCTCCCCTGGCCTGGGCCCCTCACCTACCTTCCTTCTTCGCCTTCGGCGCCATCTTGGGGGAAAGGGTCTTCCGCTGTGCTTCTCTCGGGCTTATAGAGCTAACGCTCTCTCAAACCTCGCGAGGCTTCAAGGCCTCCGAAGAGGACTATGGGAAAAAGTCCGAGACTAAGGGGAGCGTGATTATGGCGGTAGTGGGCAAAAGCCGACGCAGGGCCTTTCGGGATTAGTAGTTCAAACTCTACCCCGGTCCCGGAAGGAGGAGCGCCTAGTTAAATATGCGCCCATCCATCCCGAGGCTTCATGGGAAATGTAGTTTGTGGCAGACACGTGGTTGTTTGGCTGGTAGGTGCTGTTTTGGGAGCTCAGTTCTGAGCAACTTTGCTTTTTAGCTTTATCAAGGCGCGCAGGTTAGAAGGCGGGGAGACTATGGGCATGTGAGGTGGGGGAGTGGGAAGGGATCTGAGCCTAGATCTTTGAGGGCACAGAGCCTTTCTTCTTGTTAAACTGCCCTGCACGATCAGTTAGCCAATCGACAAACATTTATTAAGTTTGTAGTGCCAGGTACTGTAGCTATAAAGACAAAAAAACCAAAAAAACCAAAACCAAAACAAAACAAACAAACAAACAAAAAAACCAACCAGCTCCTGAGGGACCTTAAAAGTGATCTAGTTCAATGCCCCTCACCTTCACAGCTGAGGATCAGGCTCAGAGTGACTTGCCCAAGGTCATCTAGGTTGTTAGTGGTCAACCCAGAATTCTACCGCAGTGACTCTACCACCCAGAGTTCTTGGCCAGTGCCGCCCTGCCTCTCATTTGTGTGCTTTATACGTAGTAGCCGTTTAAAAAAAATATTGAATTGAACGGAATAACAGGAAAAAAAAAGAAACGGAGAGTAGAAAGTGCTGGAAAGTGACAGAGATTGTAGATGCAGCCAGGTGGGAGAGACAGAACTCTGGGCAGAAATGCTGTAATCAGGCTGTCAGAGGGCAAAAGAAGACCTTTTTTTCAGCCAACCCCGTTTCACTTTAAAAATGAAGAGACTTAGACCCAAAGAAGTGAACTAAAGCTCTTAAAGTCATAGTCTGTGTGACATAGCAACAGAAATGTACAGAAGGGGGGTGGGGAACACCAGAGAGGCTGAGAGACTAAGACCTTCCCTTTGGTGGATACTCTGATAGTTTGCTCTTAGGACACATTCCTAATCCTGTAAACTGTCAAAATGCTGGTGCAATGCTCCAATTCCTCCCAGGAATTCCAGGTCGTTCCTGTGAATCATTCTCCTCACATAACCTTCCCCACCATTTAGAGACCGGCTCATTCTAAGCCGGCCTTTCCCCCTCAGTCCCCTGGACACTGATTTCCCCCACTGTTGCTGCCCGGACTGCCTCCCAATTCCATCACTTTCCAGTACCGTAGGGCCTTGGAAAATTCCTTGGAAAATACTAGGAGTATAGCTCAGTACGTAGCGGGAGCCTTGCTTGGAAAGGGGGAGGGGGGGAGACAGGGGAAGGCGTATGCAAAGGAGTCATCTCCCCACACCTCCAGCTTCCTCAAAAAGAAGAGGAGCTGAGGGGCTGATCCGTGTACCGGCACCCCTCCGCTAAGTCCTTCTCTTCCCATGGAACCGGGTAATAAAGGGGAAACTTCTGTGTACCCTCCAGCCTTAGAGAGCTGTGTTTGGGGGGCCGAGGTGGGTGGTAGGTGGCGCGTGTCTTTTAAAGGACAGAGAGGAGGTGTAAGTTGTAAGTTGTTCAGACTCCAAAGAGTTCTTCTGTCATGGGCTCTGAGACATCATCCTGCTAAAAAGGGTGAGGGGGCTGAAGGTAAGAGTAGAGGTTAACATATGGAGAAGAGGGTATCATTATGCTAGGGTACGGAGCTGGCACACACACCCACACACACACACTCACACTCACTCACTCACACTCACTCACTCACTCACTCACTCACACCAAGGGTCATCGTAGCTGTTGGCTCGCATCACTGGCCCTGAGTCCCTAGTGGCTAAGGGTCAGGGGCCTGGCTGTACCCACCTCTCACCCCAGCCCCCAAAGAGGGGGAGGGGAGAGGCGTCTGGCGGACCGTGTGACTCACTGCCGGGGGAGTTGGAGGAGGAGGCGCCGCCCCTCGGCTCTGTGCCCCCTTCTCTCTCCTCCCTCCTTTCCTCCCTTTTCCCTCGTTCCCTCGTCCCCTCCTCCCCTCCCCGACCCGCCTGCCCTGGCAAGTTTCTTCAGTCTCCCTCAACAAAACGATCCCGGCCTAGCCCGTGGCCCAGCTCTCTCTTGGTAAGAAGGTAAGGGTCCCCACCGATCCACGTGGGGAATGGATACGTGGTCCGAGGGCACGACCCGCAGCTGGTTCTGGCGGGCCTGGCCTGGCCATGGGTGTATAGGTGTGGCCCAGTGTAGATGGGGAGCGGGCACGAAGGGGGATCAGCTCTAGGTGGCGGTGGACCCCGGGAGGTACCCTGACCCACGCGAGGAGATAGCGGTACGTGGGGTAGCCCAGTAGCCCCCTCAATGGAGCAGCCCGAGAATCCCAGAGTCCAGCCCAGGAGGGGTGGGGGTGGGGGGCGCCGCTCTGTTGCTGGAATTTCCGGGGATCGGGTTACAGAGCTGAGCACTGCGGAGATGGCTAGCAGCTCTCAACGTATCCAAGGAAAGAAAGTCCAGAATTCGGAAGCAGAGGACCTGGGTTCAAGTCCCGACTCTGACACTTATGTGACTTAGGCAAATCGCTTAACCTACCCCCAACCCCCGTCCAGCTTTTCTCATCTATAAAATGGGAAGGAATTGGACTAGATGACTTCTAATGTCCCCTCCAGCTACATCTGGGATTCTCCGACTTTGCCTCAGCTCCCTCCCTCTTGGGTGCCCACAACGACCTGGGGCGGCAGGGCTGCTCTCCTGGATTCTTCTGATCCTCGTGTGGCCATAGGCTCTTCCCCCATCCCAGGGTTTTTGAAAGTTCCCTCATGCTTGGATTTCACGGTCTCCGCCTTCTCCAGGAGTCAACAAGCATTTATCAAAACAGTACCTGCCCTGTTTCGGGCACTTGCTAGGTGTTGGGGATACCAAACCAAAAACTGAACCGGTCCCTGCCCTCAGGAAGCTTGCTTTCTAAGACGGTCTCCTTGTCATAGTAGGGTCCCCCCCCACAACCATGTGAGGGTGAGATCTCCTCCACCCTTGCATTTTGGAAGGGTCCTCCCCAAATCCCTGCTATGGTGGATTCTGTTTGGATCTCTAGGTTGAGAGGGTCTCTCCCACCGCTGTTAGGGTAGGTTCCCCGGGAACTCCGAGATTGTTGTCTTGGGGCTTCCCCCACCCCCAAGAATGAGGCTCCCTGTAGGCTAGACACGACTGGTGCACCGGACCAGGGGTCTGCGTGGGGAGGGGGGCGATGGCGAGACCCGAGGGGCTGCCTCGCCTGATCCCCGTTCCACCGGTCAGGCCCGCTTCCCAGACCTCCCTTCCCCCTCCACCATCTCTCTAGTCTGTAGCTCCTAGGAGAGAGGATGAACATCCTGGCTCCAGTGCGGAGGGACCGGGTCCTCGCCGAACTGCCCCAGGTGGGTACCCACAGACCCTCTCTGTCACCGCCCCTCCTGGCTTGGTCGGGTTACAGGCTGAACGTCGTACGGTGGGGGCGAGAGAGCTCCTGCCTCACCACTCTATTCTGGACCGGTGGAATTGGGAGTGTGTGGGAGGGGAGGGAAAGAAGATCGACCACTCCTTGGTTCCCCAGCTGTGTTATTACAGGTTGATCTATCCGGTGGGGCTGCCTCTGGAGCGAAGGTACCAGCCGGCCCGCCCCTGTGGCTCTCCATCGGCTGCTTCGGGGTGGTCCAGACTGGCTGCTCTGCGGGGGCGGGGCGGGACGGGGTGTGGTCCTCCTCGCAGCTTCTTCTCTCCCTCCCCATCCCCCTTCCCTCCCTCCACACCTCTTTCAGTGCCTGAGGAAAGAGGCTGCCCTGCACTCCAACCGAAACTTCCACCCTCGGGTCAGTGCTGCGTGTCAGGAGCAGAGGACCGGCACGGTGGGGTGAGTGATGGGCACTGAAGGAAGGGATGAGTGTGGAGGTCAGGAATGGGCACAGGGCCAAGGAGTGCAAGAAGGTCTGAGCACAATAGTGGGGGTGAACATAGTGCTAAGGGCTGGGCGTGAGGTCGGTGGTGATTCGAAAGGCGATGAAACAGGCCTAGGGTCTGAATCCAACAAAAGCATTGAACGTCCAACAAAAAGCTAGGTGGCAAAGTGGATAGAGCACCGTGTCTGGAGTCAGGAAGACCTGAGTTCAAATCTAGCCTCAGACATTTACTAGCTGTATGGCCTTGAGTGAGTCACTTAATCCCTGTTTGCCTCTGTTTCCTTAATTAAATGAAGATAAGAATAGCACTTAGCTCTCAGGGCTATTGTGAGGATCACTTGGAATAATTTTTGTAAAGCTGGGACTTGGATGCCAGGGAGGCCAGGAGGCAGAGATAAAGAGGGGGAGAGTTCCAGGTATGTGGGACAGCCAGTGACAATGGCCAAATGGGGGACATAGTGTGTCCTGTGCAGGGAACAGCCACCCTGAGTGGATCACTGTGTCACTGGATCACCGAGTGTGTGGCATTTGTGAGAGTGGGGTGGGTGGGTGAGGTGAATGGGATGATGGAGTAAGGTGTAAGAAGACTAGAAAGTTAGAGGGGAACAAGTTATAAGATTTTACAAGCCAAACAGAGGATTTGATATTTGATCTGGTAGGTGATAGAGAGCCACTGGAATTTATAGAATACGGGGATGACATGGTCAGGCCTACCCTTTGGGAAGATCACTTTGACAGTTAAGTGGAGGATGGACTGGAGGCAGGGAGACCAACCAGCAGGCTGTTGCGATACTCCAGATGGGAGGTGATGAGTGCTTGCATTACTAGGGTAGTGTCTGAGCACATCTCCATGCAAGAGACACCATGAACTTAGAAAGGATAGGACTGACGTGATTGGACATGGGCAGGTGAGAGAGGAGAGACATTGAGGATGACACCTACATTGCAAGCCTGTTTGAGGGAGAGGATAGTGTTGTCCTAGACGATCATAGGGAAGTGAGGAGGGGTTTTGGGGGAAAGATAATAAGAGTTCAGTTTTTGGACATGGGGAGTGTAAGATGTCTATGGGACCTCTGGTTTGAGATGTCCAATAGAGAGTTGGAGATGTGAGCATGGAGGTCAGGAGAGAGGTTAGGGCCAGACAAATAGATCTGAGGTTCATCGGCATAGAAATGGTCATTGAATCCACGGGAGTTACCATCATTAAATATCCGCTACAATCATAACAATACCACATATTACAAATCACTACCCACAGGCCAACATCCACAATCTTTCAGACACAGACATACATAGACTGAATTCTGACACACACGCTCAGACACATATGAAGATAAATTGTAGTACATGCAATTTTAATTTCTCACTAAAATTACCTCTGGTTGAGGAGTGACCTCATCTCGGCAATTATTGGGAAGGAAGGTGAATAATCCCAGAAGGGGACTGTGGGCCTGAAACTGTGTTACTTCAGGGAGTGTTACTGTGTACGTGTGGGGGTGATAAGAAGGGGTCAGTCCATTCATTGAGGCCTGTCCTCTGCCAAATCCCCTTCACCGTTCACTGTGCAAGCATCACCGCCTCCCCACCCTCCACCCCCAGCCTGGGCAGGGAGACCTGGGAGGCCTGGCTTCCATGATATGCTTGGCTTGGGCTCCAGCCATAAATTCCTTCTTCCCTCTGACCAGTTCCCCTCTCCCTTCCCCACCTTAGGAAATGGAGCGGACAAGTCTGTATCTGGAGGAGCAGGGAGTAGTGTTAGGTGCTAACCTGCTTCTTCCTCTCAGTAGGTTTAAGATCTCCAAGGTCATCGTTGTGGGGGACCTGTCTGTGGGGAAGACATGCCTCATTAACAGGTGAGAAGTGGGGGCAGCTGGGAGAATTAAGAATGAGTAGAGGGGTTGTATGAATGTGTGTGTGTGTGTGTGTGTGTGTGTGCACCCTACATGAGTGTAGGAGTGGAAGAGATTGGGGTGGGAAGAGGAGGCTGGGCTCTAAGCAAGACCTCACTTCCCCAGCTTTTTTCTCTTTCTTTTCAGGTTTTGCAAAGACACTTTTGACAAGAATTACAAGGCTACCATTGGGGTGGACTTCGAGATGGAGAGGTTTGAGGTGCTGGGAGTCCCCTTCAGCCTGCAGCTGTGAGTGCATTCTCCCCTCTCTGATGCTAAGGTGTCTGAAGCCCTTTCCCAGAAGCCCAGTCTGTCCTCCTCATAATAAGCAATGTAGACCAGCAACTTAGAGTCCAAAGTGACCCTGGAGGTCATCTGGCCCCCCAGAGCCTGATCCGGCCCCCCCAGTGCCTGATCTCCTCCTTCCTCATGCCTGCACCTACTTTCATGGCCCCTCATGACCCCGGTAACTCATTCATATCTCCTCATTCTACCTAACGCCCAAAATACCCACTTCATTGCACTCCTCAACTTATCTTCCTGTGTCCAATGCTCTGGACCCACCTCTCTATTTCCCCAGCACTCTGTACCCCTATCTCTGCATCCTCAGTGCTCTGTACCTGTCTCTCTCTCTCCCAGGGCCCCATGTAAGTCTCCCTTTGTCCCTGATGTCCTGAACCCACTTCCTGTGCCCTTAATGTCCTGTGCCCCACGCCCATCTAGCTCCTCAGTGCCCCATACCCATGCAGCATCCTCTCTCCCAGCTGGGACACTGCCGGTCAGGAGAGGTTCAAATGCATCGCTTCTACTTACTACCGTGGAGCCCAAGGTAAGGGGAGCCGTGCTCAAGATATGAGGTGTATTGGGGTGGGACACAGGTGTGGCCAGGGAGCTTGAATGGGTAGAACTCAGGGGGAGGAACACAGTCCTCCCTAATTTTTTTTTTTAACTGAACTGTTTATCTCCCTCCCCTAGCCATCATCATCGTGTTCAACCTGAATGATGTGGCCTCCTTGGAACATACCAAGTACAGTGCTGGGGGGAAGGGTGGAGAGGGAGGGGCTGGGATGGTAAGGAGAGGTAGGACAGGATCAGGGAGGGCCTAGGGGTCAGGGAGAAGGGTGGAAGGTGAGAGGGCTCTTAGTCAGTGAGGATCTGGAGGGTGGTCAGAGCAGTGAATGAATGAGCATGAGGAACAAGGTTGTGGGGATATGGGAGGGGGAGGGAAGGCTCACCTTTTCCTCCCTGGCACCAGACAGTGGCTGGCTGATGCACTGAAGGAGAATGACCCCTCCAACGTGCTTCTGTTCCTCGTGGGCTCCAAGAAGGACTTGAGTGTGAGTATGATGGAGCGAGGGGGATTCAGGATGCCAGGGACCTGGAGGTGGGGATTCTGGTCCCAAACCCTTGCTAATCTTCTCTTGTTAGACTCCGGCTCAGTATGTGTTGATGGAGAAGGATGCTGTCAAGATGGCCCAGGAAATGAAGGCCGAGTACTGGGCTGTCTCATCTCTCACAGGTGAGCTGTGGACACAGTGCCTTGCGCTGCAGCCATGTCTGCCTTGGGTCTCTGGATTCCCCCTTGGTCCCTGTGAGGTTCCCTGCAGCGCTCATCCGCCTCACTGCCCACCCTCCCATTCTGTGTCTGTCCTATCGGGTGACTCCCAGTGTCTGCCCTAGGGACCCCTGATGTCACCCTCCTCCTCCTCCCTCGGTGTGCGTCTGGCCCACACTCCACAAGCCTACCCGTACCTCCTTGCCCTCATCCTGTGCGGTGTCTTGTGCCCAACCATGGGGAGTCCTTATCGTCACCTGCTCCCCTTCCCCTGAATTCCTTACCATGACCAGCCCTCCCCTGGTTTCTGCTCTCCCTGGTACTATCGTGCCCATTTCTGAGTGCCTGCTTCCCATGCCAGGTGAGAATGTGCGTGAATTCTTCTTCCGGGTGGCAGCACTAACATTTGAGGCCAATGTGCTGGCTGAACTCGAGAAGACGGATGCCCGGCGGATAGGAGACATTATTCGTAAGTGCCTTGGACAGCTCCATTACCTCCCCTATTAATTAAAGGGCTGGTATATAGAATAGTATAATATAGTATAGTATAGTATGGTATAGTATAGTATAGTATAGTATAATATAATATAGTATAATATAGTATAGTATGGTATAATATAATATATGATATAATATAATACAATATAATATAATATGATGTAATATAATATAATATAGCATAGTATGGTATAATATAATATGACATGATATGATAATAATCTAGGTATATAATCTTATAGGCAGGATCTCTGAAGATGCCCCAAACTCTGAAAAACGCCTGCTGGGTGAGAGGGGAGGTGGAAGGGAGAGTCCTTCGGGACCCTGGCTTGCCAGACCTCATCCCCTTCTCCTCCCTTAGGGATCGGCAGCAATGACAGTAACCTCTACTTGACGACCGGCAAGAAGAGACGCAAGTGCTGCCAGTGAGCGTGCCGCCTCCAGCTCCTGGCACTGCCCATGGATGCCACACCTCTCCCCAGGGTTGGGCCCAAAGACGTTTGCACTGAACTGTTTTTCCAGACCAAAGAGCTCTTCTCATAAGGGCAGCAGGGAACTGCACCAGCCTAGGTGCCTTTCTTCCCCTCGGTACCACACCAAAGACTGGATCTCTCTCTTTTTTTTTAAGGCAATTGGGGTTAAGTGACTTGCCCAGGGTCACACAGCTAGTAAGTGTCAAGTGTTTGGTCCGAGGCCGCACTTGAACTCAGGTCCTCCTGACTTCAGGGCCGGTGCTCTATCCACTGCACCGCCTAGCTGCCCCCTGGATCTCTCTTTTTTAAGGTTCTCCATGGGGACATGGGGAAGATGACCGGGATGGTGGGGCAGAAAAGGAGGATCCCTAGAGCTCTGCTCTGTCTGTTGGGCCCCAGTGGGCACGGGGACCCACCTGCTGCCCCATCACGCTGTGCCTTATACAATAGTCTCACTTGTATGTGGTGCCCTGGGGGAGGGGGCGAATGAGGGAGTCACAAGACTGTGGAATCTGAGAGTTCTAGGGGATCTAAGGGACAAACTTGCCCCTTATTGGGGCTGGATAGGAGGGAACTGAGTGAGGTCACCAGGCAAACACTGAGTGCCTTGAAGGAGATAGCTGCCCTGTAGCCATCCTTGAAGTATGTGCCCGGACCTTGGCAATGACAGTGTTCTGAGCAGGCAGTCTCCTAGGGCGGTCTGGGTAGCATACGCAGTGCTGATTGGAGTGGGGTGTGGGGTACCGGAGGGGGAGCAGCTGTTCTCGATCTCATGCCAGCATCCCCTAAGGTGGAATAGGCAGCTGTCCATGAGGGGGGTTCTGAGGGGTCCTGTATATTAATCCCTGTCTCAGAATATCTCCCCAGATCCATGACTGATGCTGGAAACTCTACCATTAGGGAGCTATTCCTTTGGGTTAAGCTTTGCTGTGTCCCTGCTTTTCAAAAATTATCCTCCAAGGAATAATCAGTGAAGTCTTGAGTTCCTAGAAGAGTTTATCAAGTGGTGTTGTTTTTTGTTTGTTTGTTTTTTTGCTTTTTTTGATGAGGCAATAGGGGTTAAGTGACTTGCCCAGGGTCACACAGCTAGTAAGTGTCAAGCGTCTGAGTCCGGATTTGAATTCAGGTCCTCCTGACTCTGAGGCCGGAGCTCTATCCACCACACCAGCTAGCTGCCCCCAGGTGTTTGTTTTGCTGGAGATGTCTTGGAGATAGGGTCATGGATTTAGGTCCCATCCAGCCCAAACCTGTGACCCTGTCTCTCCTACACTAATAAAGGACTGTCCCTAGTCCTTGTTTCTAGGGTCATAGATATTATGTAAGATGGCTTTGGGTCCACTGCTTTGCTACCTTGATAGTTTTGCCCAGTGCCTTATGCACTCCCCCCACCCCCATCCACAAAGGCAGAAGTTGGCCAGCCTCATGCCTCTTATCACACCTGACTTCAGAATCTCAGAGCTAGAAAGGACCCTAGAGATCAGTCTCCCTACCCACCTGGCCTTATTTTATAGAGGAAGAGACAAGCCCAGAGGAGAAATGAGCTACCCAAGGTCATACTGAATCAGTGGCAAAGTGGCCAGACTAGAATCTGGCTCTCCTGATACCCCCAGTCCAGGAGTCTCTCCACCACAACATACAGCATCTAGTTCCAGTTCATTCCCCCAGCCTCAATGCCTTCATTTGGCCCTGCCTCCTCCCCATACATTACATCCTTAGTTCTGTTCCTCCCTATTACCTATGTATTTGTGTGGAATTTGTAGGACTTGACCCAGATTGAGTACTGGGGGCTCAGGAGGGACGCAAAGAGGATTTCCCTTACTTGGGTGGGGAGTTGGCCAGCCCATCCTGCTTTGGGGGGGCGGCGTGGGTTGGTGAAATACAGTTAAGCAAAACAAATGGACGCTCTGTGTCTGATGGAGCAAGCACTGTTCTGCACCTGTAGTCCACCACCTCTCTGCCCAGAGGAGGGGACTGTTTCCTTGCCATTCCCCTGGAATCAAAGAGTCAAGATTGGCCATTGTGCCCATCTGAGGTCTGATGTCCCTGGGTGTTTTATTTTATTGCATGTATCACTCTACGGTTTTCTGCTTTGCTCTGCATTGGTTCATACAGATCTAACCAAATGTCTCTTAATTTTGCATATTTATAGTTTCTTGTGATGCCAGAACTTCTGTTGCATCGATATACCCCAGTTTGTTTATTTGGCCATTCCCCAGTCCATGAGTACCCACTTTGTTTCCAGTTCTCCCATAAAGAGGCTGTTCTGAATATGGCAGCTCTATGTGCGGCCTGTCATGGATCTCCTTGGCCTATGGCATACGTAGTAGCGGGGTATCCCCTGGAGGGCGGGTCCAACCTTGTGCTGATGTTCACAGGGCAGAAAGTCATCAAGCCCAGATTTGGGTCCAGTTCTCTTGCCTCCCGGGCCAATTCTTTCCCCCGTGTCAGGCTTTCGCCTGTCCTGTAGGGGAAGGACTCCTCTCTCATTCCAATGTCTCGCTCTTCCCTGATGGGAAGCGTGGTACACAGTGGGAATCATGCTGGATCTGGGTTTGAATCCTGGCTTGGCCACTTTCTGTGTAACTTTGGACAAATTATGAACCTCTCGGCCTTGGCTTCCTTATCTGTAAATGACCTCGAAGAACCTCGTCATCTCTGCCTGTGATCCTATAAAGTCCCCATGTGTGTCTAACCTCAGTCCTTCTTGCTTAGTTTTTGTCTGTTTCCTCTTCCATCATTTCCTTTAATCTAACGCCGGATGCTCCAGGAGTTACACAATCTGCTGTCCCTTCCATCCATCCCAATATACACACATGATCCCTTTGGGAAGCTATCTGTTCACAGCCTATCCCTTCTCATAAAGTTTCAACTCCTGTCTCTGGAGTTTGAGGCCCTCCACAGTCTGACTCCAGTTTACATTTTAGCGGCACTAGACTTCTCTCTGTTCCCTCTTCTTGACCTCCTCACTCCTTTCCTTACCTTTACTACACTTGTTCCCCAGAGTTCTCCCCCATTCTGTCTGTTGGAGTCCCTCTAAGACCTGTTTCTAGTTCTGCCTCCTCCCATACCCCTGGTGAAAGTGATTTCTCATGGTGCCTTGCCTTGCCCTTCCCTTCATACTCCACTGCCTTCTGTATTATATACATTTGCAGACGTGTCTTTTTGTCCTTTTTTTGGTTGGGCAATGGGGTTAAGTGACTTGCCCAGGGTCACACAGTTAGTGCGTGTTATGTGTCTGAGGCCGGATTTGAACTCAGGTCCTTCTGACTCCAGGGCCGGTGCTGTATCCACTGCGCCACCTAGCTGCCCTCTTTCTATCCTTCTTAAATTAAGTTCCTTGAGAGTGGGTCCTGTGTTGTAGGATCCCAAGTACCTAACACAGTACTTTGCATACTACGGGTACTTAATAAATGTTTATTGGATCAAACGTTATGGGCCGTAGGGTCCATCAGCTCTGTGCTGGGTGTGTGGGGATGGGGAGCCCCTGGCAGTGGGCAGTGAAGCAGGGCACTGAACTGATCTATCAGCCCAATGGGGCTGCGCCTAGAACTAAGTCTTATTCCAGCATAGCAGGGGGTTGATGGGGATCAAGTACCCCAATCCACTGATGAAATTTCACAGGCCATAAAGGGGTGGGAAACAGATCAAGGTGAAGGTTCCCCCCCCTTATTTTTTTAAGGCAGTTGAGTTAAGTGACTTGCCCAGGGTCACACAGCTAGTGTCCAGTGCTTGGTCTGAGGCCGGATTTGAACTCGGGTCTCCTGACTTCAGGGCCCGTGCTCTATCCACAGCGCCACCTAGCTGCCCCAAGTTTTCCCCTTTTTAGACTTCGGTTTGTATTTCCAGGAGGTGAACTGCACACCTCCTCTTTTTACAACCTGTAATTTTATTCACATGTATGCTGGGCAGAGATCCCTAGACACAGCAGTAACACCAGGCGACCCCTCTTTTGGTGAGTGTGCATGGCCCTAAAGCACTTCTTCCATCCTGTGAGACCATGAGCTAATCTCTCCTTTCTGCAGATGCCTTGGTTTTATGCCCACCAAGAAACCAAGAAAGGTTCACAGGAAAGAGAAGGGCAAGGTCAGATCTGTGGTGATGCAGAAGCTCTGTCCAAGTCTTGGAACCCAAGGAGGAGGCCTCCATCAAATAAAGAATCTGGGGAGGATGTGGGGCTGCTGCGTGTGTGTGTGTGTGTGTGTGTGTGTGTGTGTGTGTGTGTGTGTGTGATAGAAAGGGGAAGAGGGTCATTTCTCTTCCCCTCCTGCCCCTCCTAGGTTCTTTTGAGCTACTTGAACTAATGAGGCCCCTTCAAGACCTCCTTCTATGCTAATTCCTTTGGGCTGGTGGTGTGAATGAGGCCTCTCCACCCACCCAGAGGGAAAAAAAGACCCTCCTCCCTTCTCAGCTCCCATGGGGAGGAGGGGAGGCTGGAAAGGAGTGCCATGTCAGTGGCCCAATGGGTTGTTTGCAGAGGGCTGGCAGGGGAACATCACCCCATTCCAGGCTGCCATGGCAACCAGGCAGGACCCACCCCCTTCTCACTCTTTGAAGGAGGAGGGGGTAGAGGTAACTGGCAGTCAGACTGGCCAGAGTAGGGGGTGGTAGTATTTAACTCCTTCTGGTCTTCCCTGTGGTCTGGTTGGGACTAGAGATGGGCTTGGACCAAGAAGAGGAAATTAAGTTGTATCACGTTCCCAGTGGCTTTGAAAGTCTGAATGAGAGGGATGGCATGGCAGTCCGCTCTTCCTCTGGTCCAGAGAGCGAGCAGAGACGAGCTGATGGGCAGCCTTCTTGTTCCTGTCCAGCCAACGCAGGTGTTAACCAGAGGCCGGAGGGCTTGGCCCAAACCTGGGCCAGCGTGATGGGGAATCTCCTTCTCCTTAGCCCATTTCCCAGACTACTTACTTCCTGACGCTTATCAGCCAAACTTGGCCCCTGTGCCTGAGAAGGAGAGAGGGGTCCCTGGTGCCGAGCTGTGGTGGGGGAAGAGACTGGGGTCGAAAGATCCAGGAAGATTTGAAACCTCTGGGAGAAAGGCAAGGAAGAGAAGAGGAGAACGAGGGAGAAGGGGGAAAGGAAGGAGATGAGGAAGGGGGGAAACAAAAAGGAGGAGGAAGAGGGAGGAGAAAGGGAGACAAAGGAGAAAAGAGAAGGGGCAAGGGATAGGAGGTGGGGATGTAAAAGGGGTTGAAAGAAAAGGGAGAAGGCGGTGTATGAAAAAGGGAGAAGAGGGAGGAGGGTAGGGGTAGGCTGGGGCTTAGCCCCTCCTCAGGCAGATCAGGCCACCCAGCGGCCTTGGGTGACTGTATAAGGCTTCGGGGGGAGGAGAGACTTGCTTTGGAGATTCAGAACTGACCAGGCCATGAGTTCCCAGGGCCGTTGGCTGGGGCTGCCACTGCTGCTGACCACCGTGGCTGGGGGACTTGTCGGACCAGGAAGCCTGGAGATCACACCCCATCGGGTCAAGAGGGGCTTCACTTACCCAGGCACACTGTGGTGTGGGGCAGGAAACAATGCTGAGAGCTACGAGCAGCTAGGTGAGGGAGGAGAACAGCAACTATAATGGGGAAGCTAAGCACACTCAAAGGTAATGGGAGAGGGCTTCCGAGCTCCTACCTGAGGGCTGGAGGCTGGGCCCAGAGACAGCCCTGAAGGGCCGATGTTTGGCTAGATAACGGACCTGGTCAGCAGCTGGACAGCGGTCGCTACTGAACGCTGCATCTCCAACCATCATCCTAAGGAGTCTGGAGATATGGCACAATCACCCCTCACAGGTGCCGGGGCAGCCTTCTACTAGAAGGCGTGGGTTTGGGGAGGAAATGGAGGCAGGGCCCAGTGATTTGGATCCACTAAGCCCTCCGGCTCTCCTTCTCCACCCAGGGGAACACGAGGAGACAGACAGATGCTGTCGAGAGCACGACCAGTGTCAGCACGTCATCCACCCCTTCACCGTTGGCTATGGCCATCACAACTTCCGCTGGCACACCATCAGCCACTGTGACTGTGACACAAGGTGAGTGGCAGGGGTCACGGGCTCAGCGCCCCTCCCACCCCCTAGCCAACAAAGCCCGGGGAAGGAGGAGGGTAGAGTGTAGTGCCCCAGTGAGCAGGGCTCCCTACCCATGCTCCTCAAGGCAGGTTCATCTACTCAGCTCTGGGACCCTAGGTCTGGCCTCCACGCACTCGGGCTATGCCCACCTGGATGAAAGGGAGGGATTGGCCTGGGGAGTCAGGGACCAGAGACCAGCCCTCTAATGGCTTCCTCAATCTGGGTCTTGGAAGCAGGGGTGGGGGGCATGGCTGGGGACAGGCCTGAGCTGGGTGTCTGGCAGGCTGAAGCAGTGCCTGCAGCGGGTGAATGACGCTGCCTCCCGAGCTGTCGGTCAAGCCTTCTTCAACGTCATCCAGGTGCCCTGCTTTGAGCTCACCTATAAGGAGCAATGTGTGGAGCGCTACTGGTATGGCTGGTGAGTGGTAGATGGGCAAAGGCGGGGAGAGGGGCATGCTGGCCTTCCTCATACCCCTGCGCTGAGGTGCCCTGTCCTCTGCAGGTGTAAAAGCTACGGCCCCGTGCCCCGGGCAGTGCTCCGTGACCCCGTGCTCTATGAGTTTGGGGGAGAGTTCATCAGCGTCCTGTCTCACACCTCCCCACCTCTGGGCAGGACTCCCACTCCAGGCCTCGGGGTTGCCACCCAAAGCTGCAGGGTCCAGTACTCTCCAGCACAGCCGGCAGCTCGGGATGGTAAGGGCACTGAGAAGGGGGAGGAGAAAAAGGAGAAAAGGAAGAGGAAGAAGGGCCTTTTGCTGACACTAGCTCCAGGCCCGGAGCCCCAGCTGGTGAAGCAGCTTGACAGCAAAACTTCAGCGCTCACAGTCAATGAGGCAGCAGCCCCGGCTCGCGGTGGCAAGGATGATGGTTTTAATGACGCGTCTCACGATGAACCCAAAGCAGAGGAACTGCCAGAGCCCACTCCCAGAAAGACAGAGGTCGGGACCACGGCCCGGCCAAAGAAGGGCAGGAGGAAGGGGCATCGCGGAAAGAAAGGGCACAGAAAGGGCGCTGTGCCCTCGAGGCCCAGCCTCAGCTGATGGGGGTTGGGGTGCATCCAGTGCCTGGCACTCTCCTAATGGGCTTTCCCTTGCTTCTCCACTGGCACTGGTGCCTAAGAACTTAGAGGGCTGCAGCCACGGAGGCACGGGCAGGGTTTTCTGGTTGCCATCCAGAGGCTATTAGCTACCGGAGGAACTGTGAAGAGGGATGGGCGTGAGTGGAATCAAGACGAACACTTCCACCCTCACCTCTGGCTCAGGGAGTGAGCAGGGGAAGGGCCGAGGCTCAGCTCTTTGACAGGGCACAGCTGTTTCCGGAGACGGCCCAGGGCGGGAGATACAGCTGTGCTATAGCAAAGGGAGAAAAGGGGGCCGTGGGGGGTGGAGAGGCCGCATCTGTCCTGAGCTCCTCTTCGGGAGACAGGACTGACTGCTGGGTGTGATAATAGTGCTGAAACAAAATCATTTCACTTTCTGCTCTGTGTCTGCATCAATCAGTCGACCCCGAGGGCGGAAGAGAGTCCGGATAGGGAGGTGGGTGGCAATGACCACTAACCGTTCTGATGATGGTATGGGTGAAGTCTGGAGGATGGGCAGAAATGGGCAGCTGAGCTTCTCAGGGCTGGCCACTAGACCTGGCACATCTCCTGCCTTGCATATAAAGTGCTCAAAGGACCAGAAACCAACTCCCTAGCTGGATGGCCTGGCTCCCCTCCCCCTGCTCAGTAAGGCCAGGGTGGGGGGGGGGGTAGTCTCCGGGAGAAGGGCTGCCTAAGCTTGCCTTTCCCCCTCCTCTCCGCCCCAGGGTGGGAGAGGGAACGGGGGAAGGGCCAGCCCATTTTCCCAGGCTTCTCTAACAAAGCTGGGCTGAAGCCCTTGTAAAGGAGGCACCCAGGGGCCAGGAGGAGGTGTTGGGACTGGTGGTGATGGGGGAGGGGGCGGGGACTGGGCCTGGCAGTCCCAAATGCCCAGGGTGGCTGTGGAGACCAGTCTCACCAGCAATGCTGAGGCCGTCTCCAGGACGAACACTGAACAGAACTGCTGAGGCGGCAGCAGGGGCGTGACGAGAACCTTAGCGAGGCACGGGCAAGAACAAGAACTCGGCACATGCTTGGGATGGAGGGAGGGGAGAGGACGCTGCCCTAGGGTAGGGAGAAAGGAACGAGGCGGCCTGAGATGTTTTTTCATCACAGGTCCCAAGAAAAATCCTCCTCAGGCTCTGGAATAACACGGGAACCTCAAGAGTCCAGCCTTTTCCTTGTCTTGCCTGGGCTGCTTGATCTGAACACAGGGCAGAGAGAGAGAGTGTGACAGTTGTGTGTGAAAGCCTCCCTCCTGCCCCAAGGGATGGCTCTTTTTGGAGAAACCTGGCAGCTGGAGAGAAAACCTGCACCAATGCTCTGTAGAAATACTGTTTATTCCAATGGACAGGGCTGAAGCTGCGACGAGAGGGCGGCCATGCAGCAGCGAGGCAGATGGGGTGGGGAGGGAAGGATCGCCCCAACACTCCTGTTCAGACGAGCTGCTGCCACCCCAGGTTCTGGCTTCAGTGTCAGACTGTTTGCCTCTCTCTCAGCCCTCCTCTAACCCGCCCCCCTCCCCTGAATAAATAGCGTCTCCTGCAGAACTGGAGACCGAGGGGGGTCTCTTCTCGACGGAGCGTGGCACCCAAAGTCAGAGTTGGTGGCTACAGAAGCCTGCAGGATTGCTCCAGTTCCAGCCTCTTTTCCCCACCCAAGATGGGGCGTCAGCATGGGGAGGGCTGCCACCTAGCACCTGTACTCGTATACGCAGGTGACCCGTTCCCATCATCCGTCCGAGCTGACCAGCATGGAAAATGTCATTTATGCCATCAAATGGACAGAAAACGAGCTCTCAGGGAGGGTGTGGCCCAGCCCTGCTCAGCCCTGGAGGTGACCAGAGTCCCAGGCAGGCTCCCTAGCGGTCCATCTCATCCAGCAGCGGTGTGGCATCACCGGCGATGGACATGGGGGTGCTTTCGATCATGGGGCTGGGCGAGGGGCGGGGCGTCAGCCGCTGCTTCTGTTTCCGACGCTCTGCCTCCTTCTCCTGGAGCCACTGCTCCGCCATCTTCCCCCAGTCGATGGCGGCATGGCTGTTGGACCTGGATGCAGACAGAGAAGCGGGGTCAGGGCTGCTTCCAGGGCACCCAGTTTTTCTAATTATTGTCACGACCCTGGCAGGGTGACCTAGTCCTCCCTAGAGCAGGGGGAAACTGCCGATGGCCACAACTCCTGATCTGCCCCTCCTGGATCTCCGGTGGAGCATCACCAATCCCTTCAAGTCTTGTCTACAGGCCTAGAACCTTGGGCATTTGTCCAATCCAGTTTATCCAAGGTTCCTTCTTCCCTCGCATGATACCCGCCATCTCTCCTTGTTGCCCTCCGCCCACCGTTCTAGTTCCTGGCCCTTCCCGATAAACTTACTTTGGCTGCTGTCGATGCCGGGAGCTGGAGGAGGGCTGGGGCTGGGCCTGAGCCTGGGTGGACTGTGGGGTGGTGTTGGCTTGTAGCTGGTGGTACTGGGGTGTGGTGATGGGCTGGCTGGGGGTTGTGTATGAATAGCTGGGTGTCATCAGTGGCGTGGCCACCGGCTGCTGGGCTGGGGTTGGGAACACCTTGGGAAAGAGAAGAATTCAGAAACGTCAGTGATTATAGAACGGCTTAGCTTAGACTCCTAAGTAAAGGGACAAACTGGAGGGTAAGACCTGGAAATATGATAAAAAGACGAAACACCCTAAATGAGAGGCAGTCCTGTCTCTCCTCTTTGCCCACCCTGGCTGGTTGACCCTGGGGACAACTGTAAACCTCTGGATATTCTAGGCACCTCCCCAAGATGAGAAATAGCAGAGAAGGTGCTGACCAAGAGCCCCTACAGGAGCTCTCCGCCCCAATGAAATCCCATACTGAGGCCCGGGCTCTTACCTGGAGCCTGACCCTGAAGATGAGAACAGTAAGGTTCTATGACTTCTCACCACCAAGGAAGGTCACAATCTCCCTCCCCACCAAAAGGGCTGGGCAAGGGGGATGGTGAGGAACAGAGCACCTGGGAGGAGCTCCTGTCTTGGTCACCAGCAAACGCTAACTCTACAAAGACCCCACAAGCCGATGTGGGCATGGGGGGGGGATGAATGGTGTCTGCCTAAAGGGGCCGTGGACCCACCTCCCCCAAGCTCACCCCTGAATCACTTACATGGTAAGCACTGCTGCCACCTCCACTGCCACCATAGCCATACTGACTGGAGGCCCATTGGGCCGGGGTGGCATTGGGGTTCTGTCCTTGGCCAGTCACAGCAGCAATGGCACTGAACATCTGGGAGGTCATGTTCTGGGGCAAGGCATTCACTGCTCTGGTCAGATCTGCAAGACCAATGAGAGAAGTGGATGGGACTGTTTGGTCAAGGTGAGACTAGATTCTCTGCCCTCACCCCCTCCCTGGTCACTGGGCCCAATTCTGGGCCCTTTTTACCTGCGAGGTTGATGTTGGCCGGGGTGGCATTGATGGAGGCTGGCGTTCTTGTCCTGCTGCTGCTGCTAGGCGTGATGCCTGAGGGAAGGGCAGGCTTTTAGTAAAACGAGCTTCCTGAGCTTCAGCCAGGGCAGGGGGCTAGGGGTAGTTCTGTCCTGGGACAGTGCAGTAGAACACTTCTCCCACATGGCCAGCCCTGGGGGTCTGAGCACTTGATAACCCAAGCCCGCCACTGCCTTAGTGCAAAGTGGGGATGACCTGTAGCCAGGTCCTGCAGCAGAAGAAGGGGAGGAGTCACCTGGCACAGGGTCCTGGTAATGATCCTTAAACCATCGGAAGAGCCCATTCACAGTTGGGAAAACCTGGCCTCGGTACCGGAAACCTTCTGGAGTCACACTCACATACTCTATCCTAAGTTGGCAGAGAGACAACACGTTAGGCATCAGGAGAAACGAACCCCACCCCAGGCTGCCACACATTGGTTAGGAAAGGGAGGGGAAGGTTGGTCAGCGAATACCAGCAGAACACAGCACCCAGGGATCAAAATGGCAGCAGTCACTCAACTCATTCTCTCCCTAACAGGTCTGTCCTTGACAATTCAGCTGAGCAGAGCATATGTGCACGCGCACAGACACAGACACACAAACACACACTCACACACACACAGAGCGAGCACGTGTCACAGGCCTGACAACTGGGGGAAGGCCCACGTAGGTGGCAGCACTGGGCTGCTGCCTGAACAGGCGCTCACCTTGGCTTGCCCCGGGGCTGGTACCCCAGCAGGAATTTGCCAGGCAACTCCTTACAGGCACAGATGAAGTAGGGAATGAAGGTAGGCTTCTCCTTCTTGGTTTTGATGAGCAGCTCCTCTAGTTTCTAGGAATAGAAAGGGCAAGAGAGATGCTGGGAGGATGGCTCAGCATTCCCTGCAGAGCTCTGCAGGCAGTCACATCTCTGCTCCCAGAGGGGGCATATTTGAGTTACTTCTGTACTGAACGTTCCAGGGCCTACCTGGTGGCCGTGCTGCCCCTGCATGTGGCAGAAGAGCTTAGCACTGACGGGTCTCTATCCTGCTCTCTTGGGCTAGGGCTCTCCTGGAAGCTCCCTAGGCCACGTTACCCAAACCTATCTGTACCTCAGAGTGACTTCCCTGGGGACACTGTTGGAAGAGGATCTCTCTTTCACCAGGGGAGATTTATCCTCAGTCAAAGAGGTATGGAGAGAGAGGGAGAGAGAGAGAGAGGGAATGTGTGTGTGTTTAAAGCACATACTTTATTCTTTTTTCCCTAGTTCCAAATAATCTCCCTCTTTTACTACCTGATCTAATGAGACAGCAAAACAAAAAGTTACAAGTAAGTACAGCCATGTTCATCACCCTCTTCCCCCTCCCAAAAAAAAAGAAAAAGAAAGAAGACAAAACAAAACCCAAGCTTCCATTTGCCCCGAGTCCAGCAGCTCCCTCTCCTTTGGAGGTGGGCAGCAGCGCGTTTCATCACGAGTCCTCTGGAAATGTGGCTGGTCACTGTGTTCATCGGTTACGAAACCTTTACAATATTGCTGTTACTGTATAAACTATTTTCCTGGTTCTGCTCACTTCATTCTGCGTCACTTCAGATGCGTTCCCAAGTTTCTCGGAAACTTTTTCTTTTTGTATTTCTTGGTCTTTTTTTTTTTTTTTTGCGCTAGGCAATGGGGTTATGTGACTTGCCCAGGGTCACACAGCTAGTAAGTGTCAAGTGTCTGAGGCCGGATTTGAACTCAGGTCCTCCTGACTCACTATCCACTGCGCCACCTAGCTGCCTCTCTTTTTTTTAAATTTCTTACAGAGCAATATTATCCCATATTCATAGACCATTCCCCCAACTGACGAGCATCACCTCAGTCTTCCATTCTTTAAAAAGAGCTGCTACAAATATTCTTGTACATATAGGTCCTTTCCCTCTTTCTTTGATCTCTTTGGGTTAGAGACTTAGTAGTGGTATTGCTGGGTCACAGGGTACACACAGTTTAACAGCTTTTGGAGCACAGTTCAAATTATTCTCCAGAATGGTTGGACTAGTTCACAGCTCCACCAGCGTGCATGAGTATACCTGTTTTCCCATATCCCCTCTAGCATCTGTCTTCTTAACCAAACTGTTATCTCAGAATTGTTTTAGTTTGCATTTCTGTAATTATCAATCATTTAGAATCCCTTTTTATGTAGCTACTGATAGCTTGGCAGCTAGGTGGCGCCACAGTGCAGAGTACAAGCTGAGTCAGGAAGACTCCTTCATCTTCAGGAGTTCAAATCTGGCCTCAGACACTTACTAGCTGTGTGCCCCTTAGTTGGCTCATCTGTAAAATAAGCAGGAGAAGGAACTGCAGTACCTTGCCAAGAAAACCCCAAATGGGGTCAAGAGTTGGACCTGACTGAAACATCTAAACAACAAACTGCTAGCTTGGATTTCTTCTCAAAACTGCCATTAACAACTGTGGAATGGCTTTTATTCTTGTAAATTTGACTCAGTTCCTTATATATTTCAGATATAAGATTTTTATCAGATAAATTTGCTGCAAAGATCCACCCTCTCCCCCTGCCCTTTCCTCCTTTTCATTTCAACTGCAATGGTTTTGTTTGTGCAAAAACTCGTTAATTTTATATAATCAAAACTATCCATTTTGGCATCCGTCAACCTCAGCACCTCTTGTTTGCTCATGAACTCTGCCTCTATCCACAGATCTGAGGCAATTTCTTCCCTGCTCTGCTTACATCACCCTTCATATTTAAATCATGTGCCTATTTTGAATTTATCTTAGTATATGGCATGAGACGTTGGTCTACGCCT